CTTTTGCAGGAAAACAAAAACAAAGAGATTGATGGTAGTGATGGTTGCAGAACAGAACAATGTAGAACCTCATTGAAGGAATTTCAAAAGAAGATACTCAAAGGAAGAGAAAACCCTAGCAGAAGAATCTGATATCCAAGAAGGAAGCTGGAGATAAATATAAGCAGACAATGACTGTATAAGACAAAACCAAAGAAGTAAAATATTCCTGGAAAGCAAGTAAAAGTATTCTAAGGTTCTAATATTATTTAGGAAAAGGATTAAGATTTTAACTTTTGACTTTAAATTCAATATGGATGCTGAAATGTATGAACATTCTTTTTTTATTTTTTATTTTTAGTTATAGATAGACACAATGCCTTTATTTTATTTATTTATTTTTATGTGGTGCTGAGGACCAAACCCAATACTTCACACATGCTAGGCAAGTGCTCTGCCACTGAGCCACAACCCCAGCCTTGTATGAACATTCTTTGTAAACTCGTGGGGGGGTGAAGAATGGAATCAGGCTTAACATGGAATAATCAAAATAAATAAATAATAGACAAATTATTTTTTATTTTTTAAAAAAAGAAACCAACATTGAAAAAAAATCAGACAAACACAAAGCAAAAATAAACTTTAAAGTAAAAACACTTCTAGTGTAAAAAGGTTTACAGCATATTGTTTAAATGTTCAAGTACCAGGAAACTGGTAATGCAACTTCAATAGAAACAAAAATTTTCAAACTCAAAAGGAGAAATTGGCAAATTTACCTTAATCAGAAGAAGTATTTCTCCCAATAACTGATCAAGCAGACAAAATTTGTAAGAATTTAGTTGATGAAAATCACATAACTAATGAAATTGTTCTGATAGACTTATGTAAAATATCAATTCAACATCGAGACAATTCTATTAAAGCATACCCATCACATTTGTAGGAATTCATTGTGCATGAAGCCATTAGACAAATCTTCAAACATCAAGAAGATCATTGTTTCTCAAAACAACTGAGTTAATATTTGCTTCAAAAATGTCTTTTATTATAAGAAGCATGTAGCTGAATGTTACTATTTTGACTTAATAGAACAATCTTTGTCTTTGATTAAGTAAATTTAGTCTGTTACTACTTATTATTATAACTGATATAATAACTGATCTGAGGAAGCTAGATTGCTCATTTCAAAATAATTTTAGTTTCTATTTGGAGAGTTGGTGACATCTATAGCTTTTGGTTGTAATTAATGTGACAGCCTTCTTTATTTTAGTGCAATATTGACAGTGGATGATAATACCGGAGATACTTGTAGGGCTGCTGGTATTATCAATTTCAATGTCCTGAACCTCACCCAAAATTGTAGATGAAAACTAAAATTAATAATGGCCATTTCACATTTAGGATGGTTATTATTTAAAAAAAAAAAAGCAGAAAATACCAAGTGTTGGCAAGGACATAGAGAAATTGGAACCCTTGTACATTACTCCTAATAATGTAAAAGGGTGCAGCCACTGTGAAATAATATGGTGATTCCTTAAAAAATTAAAGATAGAATTACCATATGATCCAACATTTATACTTCTGGATATACATCCTGAAGAAGTGAAAGCAGAACTTGAATAGACACTTGTACACTGATATTCATTGCAGCTTTATTTGCAAGAGGCGAAAGAAGTATCCATCAGCTGGTGAATGATAAACAAAATGTGGTACACGTGTACTATAGAATTTTATTTGGCAATAAAAAGGAATGGCATGCTATTACATCTTCAACATGGATAAACCTTGAATGCAATATGCTAAGTGAAAGAAGCCAGTTACAAAAGGACAGATATTGTATGATTCCACTTACATGAGGGATGTAGGTTAGTCCAATTCATAGAGGCAGAAAGAATGGCAGTTGCCAGGGCTGGAAGAAGAGAAGAATAGAGAGTCACTATTTGGAGTTTCAGTTTGGGAAGATGGAAAAGTTCTGGAGATTGATGGTGGCAATGGTTGCAGAACAATGTGACTATATGTAATGTCACAGAACTATACACTTAAAAATGGGTTAAAATTTTATGTTATACATTATGCTTTTCTACAATTAAAAAAAGAAAAGAAAAGCTTCTGTGTGTGCCTGTGCCCAGAAATAGTCTGCTCTTGTTCCTGAGGTGTTGATATAATAATCAAATGCTTTTTGAGATTCAATCCCATTACCCCTTTCAAAAGTCACCCTTGTCAGAACCTAGAAGTCAAAACAAAGAATATTATATAGGAATGTCTTACATTCATGTAGCACTTTATATTTGAAGAAAGGCTTTCATGTGGCTTAACCTATTTACCCTTCATAAGAGCCTTATAAGGTTAGAAGTATGATTCTCTTTTTCATTGATGGAAGAAAGTAAAGGCTGAGATGAAGTAGTTCAAGACCATGAGGCTGTTAAGCATGCAGGGGTTCAAATTTGTATCTTCTGACTCTACCGACATTGATGTCTGTAGAACTAATAGTCAACTTACTATGAGCTTTGCATTTGCAAGACCAAAGTGCTTTTCTTGCTAAACTGAACAAAAAGAAAGATAGTGCCATTGGCTTTCCAGTGACCAAGGAATGATGATTCTACTAAATTTATGCTCTAAATCTCATTAACATATTTGAGGTTTTTTATAATTCTCCATTTCCAAACTTTGGTCATGTTTAAACTCTGATTGACTCTTTGTATTTTTTGACTTTTACTTCTAAAAATACCCTTTAATTTGGGGGTTGGGGACACTTTCCCTTATACTGATTGTTTTAGGTTGTAGCTATTTCAATTTTAATGTATAATCTCAAAAACAGTTTTTTGTCCAATTCCAAGAACAAGAAACCAGGTTGTTTTCTCATTGTTATGCAAGAACTGTTTCACTGAGAGTCTTAAATTTCATTTTTACTTGCTCTCCAAGGAGTAGATGGCTAATGTAAATGGGAGAAACTTGGCATTGCCCCATCACTGGTATTAGTGACTTTATGAGTTCCCCTAGAACAAATGGTTGGGTCAGTGCGGCCTCTTGATTCTCAGCACACAGCTGGCATTCATATCTCTTTGAAACCTGCCACAGACAACAAGCAGAACCTTAGTTCAAATGCTTCAGAACATTGACCAGGTAGCATTTTCTGTCTCTGGGAAGGTTTGGTACCAATGGAAGAGGGATGACACTGACACCCTCTTATTGTGAACAAGCCTCCCTGAACTTATTAACTGGTACCATGAAAAACATTCACTGAGGCAATATGCAATGGCTTTCTCACTGTGGTGGTATTCTCTGAAATTTTGAGATTTTACACAGTTGGGTTCCTCCCTCTCCATGCCACCAGTAAAGTGCACTGACGGGTTAACATTGAATGTTCTAAGAGATGGTTCCTCTGTTTCTTCTTTGAGTTGTTCCAGCTACACTGAGGTGGAAATAGTGGACAGTCTGTCTCACCAGGCATTTACTGCACAGATTCTTTATTCATATCATCAGATTCATACATGTGAAGTTGTTTAAAAGCACTTGCTGCCCTTCCAAAGGCTTGAAGCCTTTTGACTTGGGACTTTCTTCCCTTTTGCTGTAAATCATGTAAGTCAGAGTTCCCTGAGCCGAGTGCAATGGAGAAATGAAGTACAACTCATACCAATAACTTGCACACCATCTCGGGAACACTGCCCTTAGATTGAGTCTATTGCTTGCATTCCCATAACTCACACTTATAGAGTACCTTCTCTGTGCCAGAAACAGTGCTGAACATTTCATGTGCACTGTGTTATTCAATCCACACCATAGACCTCCATGGTTGGTATAAACTTATTCTCATTTTACAAAAAGAAAATAAAACCTTTTGGAATGTAAAGAGAGTAAGTGGGCATAGAATAAGTAAGTGGCTTATGTCCTTCAGCCCTTTTTTTTTTTTCCTGTGTAAAACTGTAAAAACATAGTTTAAATGGTATGACCTTTTAGAATCCCACATTAAAGAATTTTCAGATCTTGCCAACAGTGTCAGTGTCTTAACCACTTTAACATTCTCTTCTTTCAGTATGGAGAGCACCAACTTTCATATTATATTTCATGTATATCTAATCTAGTCTTTTTTCCCCCAGCTTTCTCTTTTGTATGATTTAAACAAACGATAACAGACAAACTTGTTAACATTCTTTTCAAGCTTATTTTTCCTAATGCCTCACTTGTCCAAAGTTGCTTTCGGCTTCAAACTTTATTCAGTTGTCCTATGTTCAACTAACGAGGGAAAGATATAAATCAGACACACATTACTTATAATTATGAAAGTGTAACAAAAACAAATTCAGTGGCAAACAAAAATAGGAAGAAGTTCCCCGTTGTAAATGGACCACACTTTTATTTATATTGCTTATTAAAAGATAAAGATATCGTGAGGACAATTCTGTTTTTAGAAAAAAGCTTTCTTTCTTTCTAAAGGCACTAAAGATATTTGTTCTAGAATTTGTATAATTTCAGCAAAATATTTTGCAATCTATTTAACATAAAATGAGTAAGTATTTACTAAATATCCACTTTGTTCCCAGAATTTAAGAATATAGACTATGTATAAAAAAGTGTCCCTGGCTGGGAGCTATAGCCAACGCCTATAATCCCAGCAACTCACGAGGCTGGAAGAAGAGGAGGAGAAAAAGAAAAGAAAGAAAGAAAATTAGAACCTGCCCTGAAGAGCTTGCAATATAGTGGTTGAGGGAAGTCAAATATACCAATAAATTAACTGTACCAAAGATAATATGCCTTAAAGATTCTTCCTACCTTCCTTCTAGTTCTTCAGCAAGACCTGACAATTGGTCTCCAAAGCATACCTTCAATCTGTTGTCATCTTCAGAGAAGCTTGATTTTGAATTTCAGAAATAGCCTAATTTATGCTTCATAGATCGGACTCTCATTTTTTCTTCATTTGTTGTCTGTTATTATGATCATTTCTTAACTCCAGATTGAACTGCTAGAGATGCTCCCATGTTACCCACTTTAAGGTGTATCTTTATGTTCTTCTCACACTACAGAGTCATCAGAAATCGGGCCTTCCTTGGTGATTCACACCACTGTCCCTTTTGGAGTTACATACTTGGAGCATAGCATCGAGGATGTGCAGGAGTTAATCTTCCAGCAGTTGGAAAACATTTTGCCAGGTTTGCCTCAGCCAGTTGCTACCAAATGCCTGAAATGGAGACATTCACAGGTAATCAGAGAATCAAGTGGTATGAACACAATCATTTTCATAGGAGTCCAGCACAACTGACTTGACTTTTTATCCTTCACCACTCTCTAGTATAAAAATAAGCAACAGAATCTTTGGTGCAACCGTGTGTTTGCCTAACAGAGAAGTGTAAATTCTTCAAGTTTCCTCATCCTGATATTTCTCAACAAGAGGTGCATGCAGTTTTTATCAATGTTATGTCCAAATTCTGACATCAGAAAATGTATACCCTGAAATTCCTATCATAAGCAAAGCAGGTTATATATCAAAATGCAGCTGCTTCTCTGGGGTTTTTCTAAATCAGGACTGTGGTTATATAGAAACCACTATAACCTCCCAAATTTTTGCAATATGTCAAAATAACCTTGTAAGTATATTTTGCTACCACAATTTTCATTTTTATTAAGTTCCTACTTTGGTTTTGACTGCTGCCAGCAGAGCTCTTTAGGGGAGAAAGATGAGTACCTGCATAGAACAGTTACTTGAACTGTTTTTCAGGGTTAGATAAACCTGCTGATTGCTCCACCAGGTCAAACTTAAAGCTCTTTATACTAAGTAAATGTTGACATTTGGGAAAATCTCTGCATAGAAGAAGTTTGTGAGTATTTATAGAAAAAGTCTTTTGATCTGTAAACTTGGTTGTGAAGTCACTTGGGGGTCAGTAGAGCAAATGGTAGATGGAGAAAAGATGCAGTGAATTGTCCATTTTTTTCCCTGAGATTTCTGAGCCCATCGACTGACTGCCTTACCAGCACTTCTGGTCATCCAAGCTGGGAAGCCTTTGGAAAAAAGCGGTGTTGTGGGAAATTGCAGCAGATTTTGTATATTTAAAGGGCTTTTCAAAATCAGAGGAAATGGTAAATTACTTCCTAAAATATTGCAGCAGGTCTATGTGTTTATCCATATCTTCTCAAGTTAAATTATACAGTGAACCTTTGGGGAAAATATTTACTTAAACATGTCATGGTCACTTAGAAGACTTTGCTTTTTCCTTTTAAAAGCATTGAAAAATCTCAATAGTTAATGTCTTTAAATGATGTTTAACTCAATTTTAGCTTGGCTTGAAAAACGAAGTCAGGGAAATGATCTTGTTATAATTTGAAGCTGGATATATTACACACCAAGTCATTTGCAATTTATAACTATTCCTTTAAAAGAACAATAGTTTGTGAGGTTTCTTTTTGTGTCTTTCTCATAAATAATTTATTAATAAACTGAAAAACGTGGTTTTTAAAATCTACTTACTTCTAAAAATTTGACGTATTAATAAAAATAGATTTGTTCTAGCCATAAAATGTTGTGCAATATCACAAAATTTAATAAAATATTCTTTGAACACAATGTACATCCAAACCCTAGCCATAATTTTTATTGCAATTTGGATGTTGAAATTATTCCACTACATTTTCAAATCTTCAGTCATTGGCTACAAAATCTAAAAGGAAACCAGTTGTCATTCAGACTTAGAAGCTTGCATTTTCCACTATACATATACTTCTCTAGTATCTTGAGCATCGTTCTACAGGACATGACATTATTTTGTGTGGCAGAGATCTTACACAATTTATGTGCATATTACATCACCTTAGAAAAAGGAATAATTAATGAAAGGTCAAGAGATTTAATATCATTTAACTAGTTAGTTTTCAGCTACTCTTCTCAAGAAAGCATTTCTCCAAAGGTACATCTTAACCTTAAGAATTTGACAGAAATATATGTGTCCCAACCCTTCTCAGTACTTGCAATCAATTCATGTATGTTGTATATTAATATGTTCTAATACAGGGTGATGCAGGACAAAGGACAAAAAAGAAAGATGAGCAACCTGGTCATTTTAATCTTTCCTCCTTTTGGAATAGAGATACACTGCCCTCAAAGGGGAAAGTCCACCCATATTTTTTTTTTCCAGTTTAGGGCTCCCCTTGTGTTCCTTTCCTTTTTTCTCTCTCCCTGTTTTGTTTCTTCTGTTCTCCACACTCCTCCTCCTTCCTTTTTCACTCTATCTCTGAAATACAAATGACAGAGCCCTACACACCCTCACATTGTGAAAGCTTCCATAGAACACAGAGCTGGTGCCTCTTGACCCAAGCAATGCTGGGTGGTGTGGATTCCCCATCCCAGATATTTCAGGCTGGAAACTTGCCATCAATTTTATTTTATTTCCCTCTTCTCTTCTTTTGTGATGTTTACACTGCATCCTAGTACTATGGAGGTGGGGAAAAGAAAAGAAAGGAAAGGGACAGCAATGATGTAGTATGCCAAGCCCAGAATAGAGCAATTTAAAGATGTGATATATAATGTGCATATAATGTCAAAAGTAGGCCAGGTGCCATGGTGCATGCCTGTAATCCCAGCAGCTCAGGAGGCTGAGGCAGGAGGATCGCCAAGTTCAAAGCCAATCTCAGCAAAAGCAAGGTGCTACGCAACGCAGGGAGACCCTGTCTCTAAATAAAATAGGGCTATGGTATGACTCAGTGCTCGAGTGCCACTGAGTTCAACCCCTGGTACAAAAATAAATAAATAAATGAGCAAAAGCAAAATTAGTCTTATGACAATGAACTACTATACCCTAGAATGGTGAAAATCCAGAACACTGACAGCATCAAATACTGGTGAGGATGTGGAGCAATAGTAGCTCCCATTCATTGCTGGTGGGAATGCAATAAAGTACAGACTTTAGAAGACAGTTTAATAATTTCTTAGAAAGCTAGATATACTCTTACTACATGAACTAGCAGTCACTCTCCTTCCTATTTATTCCAGGGAGTTGGAGATTTATGTTCACACAAAATCTGCACGTGGATGTTCATACCAGCTTTATTTATAATTGCCAAAACTTAGAAGCATCAAAATGTCCATCAGTAAATGAATGAATGGATGAACTGTGGTACAATGGAATATTATTCAGCACTAGAAATAAATGAGCTATCAAGCCATAAAAAGATATGGAGGAAGTTTAAATGCATATTACTGAGTCAAATGAGCAAATCTGAAAAGTTACGTATTATATGATACCAACTATTTATGACAGTCTGAAAAAGATAAAGCTATAGAAACAGTGAAAAGGTCAGTGGTTGTCAAGGATTAGAAGGGAGGAGTGAGGAATGACTAGGCAGAGCAAAGATGTTTATGGTAGTCCTCTGATACTACAATGGTGAATATAGGTCATTATACATTTGAGCATGTACAACACCAAAGATGAACCTTAACATAAACTATGGACTTAGGGTAATAACGTTGTGTTCATGAAGTTTCATCAACTGTATCAAAAGTACCACTTAGTGGGAGATAATAGGGGTGTCTATAAATGTGTAAAGGGGTATATGAGAAATCTCTGTACCTTCCTCTTGATTTTGCTGTAAACTACCTGTATTAGTACATTTTCTATTACTATAATCAAATGCCTGAAGCTAGCTAACTTGAAAACAAAATAGATTTATTAGCTCCCAGTGTTGGAAGCTGAAAGTCCAAAGATCATGGCACTGGCCCTGGTGAGGGCCCTGTTAGCTGTGTCATCTCATGGTGGATGGCATCACAATGGCAAGAGCACATGCAAAAAGGAGAGATCACATGGGGAGACAGGAAGCCAGAGTAGGGAGGGGCTCTCTTACAACTTATTCTCACAAGAACTAACTCAGGATCCTACAAGAACTACCTTAATTGTTTCTGAGGACAGCACTCTCAACAAACCAACCAACTGCCACCAAGCTCCATTTCTTAAAAATCCCATCATTTCTCGCATTGCCACACTGATAGGACCAACCTACCAGTGCATGAACCTTTGGGGGACACACAGACCATATTCAAACCGTGGTACTCTTCTTTTATAAAAAATCATTATGAAAATAGTAAGTAAATAAATTCAAAATTTTAAATGTTTACTGGCAAATCCTAAATAAATTATTTATAATATATTGATTTTTAAAAGTAGTCACAAATTTAATAATGTGAACCCACTACAGTGATGAATATCTCAGAGAGATAAAGTAGCTTCCTTGAGCTCTCATGGGTAATAATGACAAGGCCAGCCTACTTGCCTCTCAGCCCTTTTCTCCCCACCATTCCATAGTGTTGCTATAACAAATTACCAGAAAATTTCTGGCTTGAAACAATACAAATTTATTAAGTTTGGGAAGTCAAAGGCAGAAACGAGTCTCACTGGGGAAAGGCAAGGTGCTATCAGGGCTGTAGTCCTTTCCAGAGAGTCTAGAAAGTAATCTAATCCCTTACTTTTTCTGTCTTGTAGAAGCTGTACACGCTCTTTGGCATGAGCCCTTCTTCCATCTTTAAAGCCAGCAACAGCAGGTTAAGTTCTTCTCACATGGCACCACTCCAACCTTTTCTCTGACCTCACTTTTCCTTTAAAGACTTTCGTGAGGACATTGATCCCATCTGGGATAATCCACTATAGTCTCCTCATCTCAGGTTCAGATGATTAGTAATTTTAATTCCATCTGCAGCCTTAATTCCTTCTTTCCACATAACAGAATGTATGTATATGTCCTACAGATTAAGATGTGTGCATCTTTATTTTTGTCTATCATACCCTCCTTTCCCTGGATCCCTTGTAGATCCCTTTAGGAAGCAGTGTTTCATAAAATCTTTGGAGAAGGCATCAACCCTCCAGCTACTATAATGGAGTAGTAGCTGCTATATGAGAGAAATATGAGAGTATTTTATTAGGAGAAGGCCATTTCTTCTTTCCTGGTAGTGTTCTTCCATGCCAAATGCTGTTTCTATCACATATCCACAATGGCAGCACAAGAGTAAAAAATGTTCATTCATTTATTCAGCAAGCATTTAATGCCTATGCCTAGTTCTCTGCTCTTGCCTAGAGATTAGTATTTGCCAAAGACCTTTTCCTAAGACTCTAAATTGAATTTTGTCTTAAGGAAAATAATGGTATGTTCTTTGGAGTGCTACTTTTAAATGAGGAGAGTGGCAGATGAAGAAAGAATGTGTCCGAACAACTTGGGAGCTGC